TTTTATATATAAATTTGGGTAAGTCAACTCATTTGATTTATATGTAACAACAACCAAGGGGACATGTCTCACATCTGTGACCGTCTAAATCAATTTATTTATTATATACTAGGAAGGTCAATCTCTCCAAGGTATATATTGTATAAATTAGTACATAAACAAGTACATAGTTATTTATGCAATAACTCTCAATATTATCTAGAAATATTAAATTTCATTAAAACATATGATAATGCCATTAATGGTACGCAAGACCTATTGATCGAGGTTTTACAACAAAGAAAAGCGAGTCTAACAACTGAAAATGAACGGTTAAGAAAATTAAATGGAGGGTATTTATTAAAATTTTTGATTAATTTTTATTAAAATTAAACATAGATTAATTTCCCTATTATATATATAGCTCCGTTGATCAACTTTGTCATGAAATTGTTACCTCAATTGCGCAAATAAATGAACTAAAAGGTAATATTGTCGCATTAGGAAATCAAATCGAAACAAAAAATTCGGAAATTACAAGTTTAAAAGATCAAATATATAGAATGACACAAGAAAATTGCAATTTTAGAGAAAGTAGGTTTTTTTTTTTCTTTTTCTTTTTTTTTTAGAAAAAAACATATAATCATTTCGTTAATGGTTCGCAGCCTTGGGGAAGCTTAAATCTCAAGCAACCGACCTTTTTAAAGATTTGTAATTAAGGTAATTAAGGTTACTACTTTGGGTTTGGGAATCATTCGACATGGATCCAATTAATGCTTTTACATTAAATAATCGTGGGGTGACTTATCGTGGGATAAGTAAATATGACGAATCACTTGCAGACCTAAATAAGTCATTGGAAATAAAACCAAATGATCCGTGGACATTAGGCCTTCGTGGAAAAACTTATCAAATGATGGGAAAAACGAATATATAAAAATTTATGATATTGATCTTGTCAGCCAACAGACTTCGCTTGAAAGTAAAAAAGTTCTGAATTTTAACTATATTTCAATAATAAAGTGTCTTTTTGAAAATGATGAAAGTTCTTTAACGCAAGAAATTGCACGAGATTTCAACCTACAGAAAAGGTAGCTAAAGTTGGACTACGCTTTGAAACTTTATATTTGACAATAATAAAATATGCTTTATATAAATATCAATATCAAATTCGATGGGCCAATTTTATAATTTATGATGACAGCTGTAACGTTAATACACATAAAAATTATATCAATTTTAACGATCCTATTGGTTGGGTATAATCTAACATATCTTGTGCCTCATTAAATTTATATATTATCGTTATACAGTAATAAATTTTTTTTATTCAATAAAAACATATTGATCTTACATGCAAAAAACATGTATATCACAGAATTTTTATTTTAAAAATATACAAATTACAAAATAAATCTGAATCTTCATTTTCATAAAAAAAATCAAATAAATTGAATTATTAATCATCAATGATCTCGATAGACTCAAATGATTGATTTCTTCTTCAGCAACCTTAGAAAGGTGATATTGAGAATTATGTCTTAAATTTTTGATTTTAACGCTTCCGTTATCTCTTTGGTGTTGATCGACTTACTCGTGTACATTTATATCATTTGGATGAAT